ATACTAATGTGTAAATGACTTACTTGCACATTTATACATACAACTCACATACAGCTACACAATTGTATTACTTCTGTGTTAGCTAGGCACCACTCTAGGAGCTAGGGAAAAAAAGAACAAGGCTTCTCTTCCCATGAAGCTGAAATTTTAGTGGAGAGTTCGACAACAATAACATTCACAAATAAATAAATACAGAAAATAGAGTGAGATAATACAGAAGACTGGTTGACTACTTCACATTTGGTATTATAAAAGGCCTCTTTAAAGGTATCATTTAAGACAAGATGTAACTGAAGACAAAGAACCAGTCTTGTGTAAATGAAGGGGATATGAGACAGCTAGCACAATTCAAAGAAAGGAATGAGCTTGGCATATGGATAGGAAAAAAGGCCAGTGGGCCCAAAGAACAGCAGGCAAGGAGGAGGACAGGGTGCAAAGACGGGCAGGGGCCAAATCATGTCGGTCTTTGTAAGACAGAGTAATGCTTTTCAGAGTTTACCCTAAGTTAAATAAGCCGCTGGAAGATTGTGAACAGTAGTGTGGCCTGCTTTACTGCTTAAAATGATCTCTACCAGAAGCAGGGAGACAGATAGAAGGCACTGCAGAGATCTACACAGGACAGCTGTGTAGACCAGGATGGTGTTGGTAGAGAGATAGGTGGGCTCGATCAAGACACACTTTAAAGGAAAGGTCAGCCGGGCGCGGTGGCTCACACCTATAATCCCAGCACTTTAAAAGGCTGAGATGAGTGGATCACCTAAGGTCAGGAGTTTGAGACCAGCCTGACCAGTATGGTAAAGCCCTATATCTACTAAAAAGACAAAAATTAGCCAGGCATGGTGGCATGCGCCTGTAGTCCCAGCTACTCAGGAGGCTGAGATAGAAGAATTGCTTGAACCCGGGAGGCAGAGGTGGCAGTGAGCCGAGATCACACCACTGCACTCCAGACTGGGCAACAGAGCGAGGCTCTGTCTCAAAAAATATATAAATAAAATTAAAAAGTAAAATAAAGGAAAGGTCTGCAGGACCTTTGACCATGGAGAAGAGGAATAAGGAATTAAGGATACTTGGATGCATGATGACTTGTTCTCCTAAGAAAGGCAAGATCTGGAAAGAATAGGTTTGGTTAAAGAATAAGGCCATTGGACAGTAGAAACAGTTCTGCTTTAGATATAGTAATTCTGAGCTCCAAATTATACATCTAGCATCAATATAGGGAAGGTAGCTGGTATATGAGTCCAGTCCTTGGGGGATTCATATACCAGCTGCCTTCCCTATATTGGGGAAAATTGAGGCTGGAGATACACATTTGGCAGTCATTGGCATATAGATGTCATTAACACCACGGAGACTGATATCCAAGAATAGAACATAGACAAAGAGGAGAAGAAGGCTGGAGATCAGTCTTGGGCTTACTCCAACAGTTAAAGGATGGAAGAGGCTGTTTGGGAACCCTCTTCCTCAGATAGCTATGTCTCAAAAATGGTGATTCAGAAGAGGAGGTCCTTTCTTTACTCACAGGCACGGGTCTTCAAGCTCTTGCAGAAATGTCTAACATTGAGGGCGAGTGAAGACTTTTGTGAATCCTTATCTGCCAGGAGATTGAACATTTGCTACCAGCTGGTACAAGGAAGAAGCTTTGTATCCCTTGAAAATTCATAAGATTTTCCCCATACATTTTGAATAGTATGGTTAAAAACACTTTTAATGAGATATGTAGATATTAAATCCTGCCTTGAGGCAGGAGGACTAACGGGAAAGTTTTCAATGTCCATCTGGCCATCAGAATCTAAGAATCCAAAAGTCTAACCTAGAAAGGAGCAGCAGAATATCAGACATTAGGAAGGGGCCCTTCTGCTTTAGAAAAGTGCCGAGACATCAGCCTAGAGAAAACACTGGGCCCCAGGACTGCGGCTGACTAAATAGTAGGCTATGAGTGAAAGTAACTAGCTTCTTTTTTCTTCTGCCTATAGCAACTAGGCTTTGTCGTCTAGAAACAATAGCATCATTTTTCTTAGGAGTCAGGATAGATAATAAAACGTTGCTCCGAATCAGCAGGGTTGAAAGATACAGGCCAAAATATAATGTTCATCCGACAGCCTGTTCAATTTTTACAGTTTTTGGAAAAAATGTCTGTTCATATAGATATGATTATCTGAGATTGCCTCTGAATGTATTCTTTGGGGAGTTTGCTGCACAGTTAATATTGCAATATTGCAGCAAATTATGGAATTCTCTCAATAACAGAGCAAAGAAATCTGTGTCCTGATGGAAAGCACTTATGGCAGTTTAGGGAAACTTTCAACAACAAATGATTCTGTTGTATTTTCCCCAAACGGATTTTCTTACCCCTTGATGTCTTCCCCCTAGGCTCTGAGTTGTAAGTGGCAGAACAAGTGACTCCTCTAAACATTAAGGTTTGCTGTAATCCATAATTCATGTTATAGAAAAAATAAATTTTAATCATAAGACTGCCACACTTTTGAAGAGTTTATTAAAATAAGAGCTACACAGAGGCCTTTTGGAAAACTGACATCTAGAAAAAGGAGCCAGCCTGGGGGTATTGGATAAGAGGTATTGGGAAATAAAAAAACGTTTTCAGGAGCGAGGGTTTCAGACAGAAAAAGCATTTTTTTATACTTTCAAAGACAAGACATGCATTTGGTTGGACCAGCTGCTGATTTTGGACAATTGTTATAAGAGACCTAATTTTTGCCTTTATGATCATAACGTGCACATATTCTCCTCAGGGACTAAACCCATGGCCAACAGTATGTGCTAACTTGGACACCACGTGACGCAGTGACTTAAACCATAGGAAAAGTGGACTCCAACATCTTTCCCTATAATTAGCTCAGATAAAAGCAGTGGAAAACCACAATGTTTATTCCTTTGGTTTTATATATAGTCTTTAATCAAAACACCTTAAGAATATTTTAAGTTTTTCCTTCCGCTTGGTAAATTTCTGGTAATTCTGGGAAACAATGCAAAGTAAAGAATGAATATGGAACAGCTGGATCATAGTTGGGATTGAGAGGGAGTCTGCTCTCCTCTAAGGATCAATAGTTAACTGAATGACTTCAAACAGCCCTCCGTGCTAAGGTGAAAGTAAGAGAATCCTCTAGGTCTCCGAGATCCTCCGTTCCCTCGGTTGGATGCCAGAAGCACCTGGAGGCTTTAATCAGAACCTTCAGTCATTCAATCAGTTGTACAACACCATGCCTTATGGCTGACCAGTATCAGCCTGAACACTTCATCCATGGTTATCAGGGTAGTGAATGAAGCATCCAGATTTATACTGTTCAGATCATCCTGAATTATTCAATATAAACAATAATCACCAGAAATACATTAAAATTTTTCTATGTCCCAGGTACATTACTGGATGCATAATTTGTAGATATCTTCTCTAATCTTGACCATAATCTGCAAGTTAAGTATGATTATCCCTATTTTGCAAATGAGGAAACTGAGGCTCGGAGAGGTTAACTAACTTGGCCACAGTCACTGAGATAATAAATAGAAGAGGGCCGGGCGCGGTGGCTCAAGCCTGTAATCCCAGCACTTTGGGAGGCCGAGGCGGGTGGATCACGAGGTCAAGAGATCGAGACCATCCTGGTCAACATGGTGAAACCCCGTCTCTACTAAAAATACAAAAAATTAGCTGGGCATGGTGGTGCGTGCCTGTAATCCCAGCTACTCAGGAGGCTGAGGCAGGAGAATTGCCTGAACCCAGGAGGCGGAGGTTGCGGTGAGCCGAGATCGCACCATTGCACTCCAGCCTGGGTAACAACAGCGAAACTCCGTCTCAAATAAATAAATGAATGAATGAATAAATAAATAAATAAATAAATAAATAGAAGAATCTATTTATCTAAGTATAGATAGATAGACCTATTAATCTATTTATAAAGAAAAAGAATAACTGACGAATTCAAGTAGAAAGAAATACATGATTTAAACTGTAGTTGTTTTCAGACTCAACCCAAAAGTCAGGCTTGCAAACTATGGCAAATGTTAGTAGAAATCATAGTGCCTGTATCAGGACTGTGGGAAATACAGAAAGTGGACAATGAATAGCATCATTAGCACAGTTGTATTTGCTTCTAGTCCTGACTTTTTTCAAGCCTACTTTAATGCTTGTCCTTGGCCTTGTATTTGGTTAAGAATGTGCGTACTGTTGCTGAAAGTAAAGTCTATTTATCTGTCAAGCTGCTAATTAGTGCTGCAGAGTAGCTCCCGAGTTTGTTACAATATGCTCTGGTGTGTACCAGAGTCACTTGTGAGCTTTACAACCCTCATTCCTGGGTCCTATCACTCCTAGATCTTCCATAGGTTGGTGATGGTTCTCAGGCATTTATATTTTTTAACAAGCTCTCAGGTAATTCTGATGCCCACCAAAGTTTGAGAATTATTGCTATCAATGTTGTTTGAGGGGATGATGCCTTACTCGGAAATCTGAATAAACATAATAAACTATCGTTGTAGGTTGGAAGAAAAAAATCAGCTTGTAAGGAATGCATGGAGGGATGTTCATTTGGCCTGTACACTTTTGTCACCTGTCTTGATCAATGCCTACTTTCCCTTTCCTCTCATTAATATTTGGGTCAAGAGAATACTTTATCAGGTCTCCAGTAAGTATGTTTTCCCCGTTACCTAAATGAATACAGTCTCATAGAGACCATTCAAATGTTCTCATTGTAATGGGAAGCTGATCTGAAAATCTATCCATCAAACTAATCTGCTTTCTTGGAGAGCCATGGAGACCCTCTGGGGACCTGAGAATGCTTTCCTGTCATTGCAGTGACACTGACTGGCTTTTTAACTTTGAGAAGGGCCATGACAATCTTCCGATAGTGACACTATTTATACCTCTGGACTCTCACCCTTCATAGGTCTTGGTTTGTTATCACGGCCCTTGTCACTGTACGAAAGAAAGCATGAAAGAAGGCAAATGAACTTCTGCTATTGGGGAAATTATACATGACTGTAATTTCTACCTGGCACTGATGTCCCAAGTGCGACGAACACAACTGCAGTCACAGAATCTTTCAGGCCAATGGTGCAGCCGAAATGGGAAGCCAGGTCTCCGATGAAAGCTGTCAGTAGGCCAATCATGAGGATGGAGACAATGAAACACGCCCAGCCATTCCAGTATTCAGTAGGAGGAACGAAGGCAAAGAGGACCTTCCAGAATACAGTCAGAAAGTGCATCACATAATCAAAACAGGAGGGCAGCTTTTCTTCCCCACATTCATCATCATCATCATCTTCCCCTAGAGAGGAGAAAAAAGCACATTCCATCACAACCTAGGCTACCAGGTCTTCCTCTCTCAATCTTTCCTGTCTAGGCTGTTAGTCCTCCACTCTATGTGACAGGAGGCCATGAGAGGCGGGTGAAGTTTAGTGTTTTCCAAGAGTTAATCATAATTAACTAATTAATTATTAAGACACTGAAATGCCTCTTACCTGTGGCTCACTGGTCAATAGCAATAACTTAACACCTACCCAGTTCTGCTTCCATGCAATCAACACATTCTTTCTACTTTCACATCCAGTGAGACTTGTCACTTCAGAGAAATGAAAATGATTTCCTCTAAAAGGCTGGAAAGCCCTGTGTTGGGCTGAGAAAGAACCCTCTTTAGAAGAAAGATAAGCGTAGATGGAGTTCTACCAGGGTTCTTTTCTTACAACTTGAAGTCCGACTCTGGGTTATATAATCACCTACAGGATAATGTTCAAGCAGGGCCGTTAATCATGGCTCTGAGCCTTGCCTATTTCTCCAGCATCATCTCCTGCAACTATTTCAAACTAAAGCCTTGGAATTACTTGCCAAATAATTATATGCCAGGAAATGAAATTATTTGCATTTTTCCAAACCAGATATACTTTCTCCTACTTTCGTCCTTTAGAACTAAATGTGCTTGGCATATCTTAATTGCTCCATCCTAATCCTTCCTCACCCGTCCTTCAAGACTCACTTCCTCTGTGATGCGCTCTCCAACTGCCCCCCAAACCCATGCTGGGAACTCCTGCTCAGAGGAGCCTCCCAGCACTTATAACTCTGGATCAGTTGTTCTCAGAGTGTGCTTCCTGAGCAGGTGGCACAGAGAACGTGTTATATAACAATTCAAAATTCTCAGCCCCACTGAGTCAGAAACTGGGGAGAGGGTGGACAGCAAGCTGGGCTTGAACAAGCCCTCCATGTGACATTGATGCATGTTCAAGTGTGAGAACTGCTTTTCTGAATTGTACATGTTCATGTTCCTCTCTTTTCCAGTTGACTGAAGAGCACTTCAAGGGCAGGAATTCATGCATCTTTGTGTCCCTGCTATTTGGTACCATCTCCAGCACCTGAACTAAGGTGGTTAATTTCATGTTAAAGGAAGGAATGCAGGCAGAAATTTCTATTGACTTTTTATTACTATGCAATTACATTATATGTACAGTATATATAGATCTATACTATATATGGTACATAGTGTGTGTGTATATATATAGTGTGTGTGGGTGTATATATACATGTATACACACATACTATGTACCATGGTATATATATACTCACTGCAACCTATGTGTGCATATATATATATATATATATATATACACACATACACACACACACATACATATATATATATATATATATATATATATACACACACATACATACACAATTTTGCCAATTAAGTCATACCATCAGTGTACAAAGAAATGTGGCTGGGTGTAGTGGCCCATATACTGTGTACCATAGTGTGTGTGTGTGTGTGTGTGTGTGTATATACACACACACTCCAACCTATGTGTGCATATATACATATATATATATATACACACACACACACACACACACTATGGTACATAGTTTGTGTGTGTGTATATATACATATATACACAATTTTGCCAATTAAGTCATACTATCAGTATACAAAGAAATGCAGTCGGGTGCAGTGGCCCACACCTGTAATCCCAGCACTTTGGGAGGCTGAGGTCAGCAGATCACAAGGTCAGGAGATCAAGACCATCGTGGCCAACATGGTGAAATCCTGTCTCTACTAAAAATACAACAATTAGCTGGGCATGGTGGCACTTGCCTGTAATCCCAGTTACTAGGGAGGTTGA